TTGACTACACCAATGTCTTGGTCCACAAACCCCCTGTGTACGCAATCTGATCTACATCAATCTCGCAGCATCTGTCGTCAAATATGTATGTAGGTTGCATGTTAGGGACTGCGAGCAGACGAAGGATTGCACTATCGCGGGAGGGTTCTATCGGACTTCTTGGGCTGTTTCGTCGAAGGAAAGGTTAGGCATGGCTGTCTTTCATTATTAAGTGCACAACTTTCAAGTTTCTTGGCGTTGTTAGAGTCTTTGCGAGAGATCTATTCAGGTGAATGTTAAAGGCAAAGTTCGGGCTCAGACCCACTTAATGAGCCTTTACGGTGGCTAGAAGCGCTAGGTACGCAAGTGTATGGGTCGCGTCACTTCCCTACTTCGAAAACCGTTATTTAGACGCTAGGCTCTAAGAACTTTGACACGCTCCACCTGCTGCGACACGCTCCGCCCACCGCTCGATATCTTGACTGCGTCGGAATGTTGATCTGCTATGCTCTCTCTACTTAGACTTCTCTAGCGCTCTCCGCGCTCACATTATCTCTCATCTCCCTGCCGGCCTTTTGAACTTCTCCGCACCGTAGAGGAAATGGCTCGTATTTCCTAAGCATTTCACGATTTCTTTTTCTCTTTTCTGCACTGGCGGTCCACTACCTACCCCTACTTTCACATTTGAGTAGAATTAATTCAATCCTGAATCTTGCCTTTAACACGTTGACGACAGCGTGACGCGGTAACGCGTCTCACCCAAGTCATTTGTTTTTCTTGCGCTTGACACGACTTATTCCTACTCTTTGTACTCATTATATTTTTATTACTTTATGTACTATAGGCCATACATTAGCATACTTAAAAACCACATGGCTCACAGAAAGGCCAAATATTCTTTAGTTTGGCAGAGGTTTTCCAGACCTTACGGATATGTCTGTTCAGTTCATTCCTCGTTTTCTTTTCATTAACGTAAACATGTTGAAAAAGGAATAATAGAAGCGAATACAAACCTATTCGTATGGGAAGATATGTGTTTTTACTGAAACAACCACGTCTAATTCTTCGCTCTGGTGGTTCTATTATACATGTATTTATACGTGACAGGTCACAATGGCTCAAAATTCCCAAAGTCATCTGCAACCCATTACTTTCGTGACTTCCTACGGACGTTATATTTCGATATCCAATGTCGTCAACAGGGTCAACCGTCCGTTGGACAAAGTCCAACGAGGGGATGGGGGGTCGTATTTGGGGGGTGGAAAAGGGAGGGTCGTATTTCGTTTTTCTATGGAACGGATAGTGGGTTCTTGTAGGCTGGGCTTTTGGGTTGAGTGTGAGTGTGAAAATTTTGCCGTTTCACGTTCCATATACCCCCTCCCCCCCCCGCTCGACGGTAATTTTGGAAGGAAAAGTGGGCGGAGTTGGGCCTCGACGGTAATTTTGGAAGGAAAAGTGGGCGGAGTTGGGCTGTGTCGACTGGTCTCAGAATCAAATACTATAGAATCGCCCCATGATGGCGATGGCAGGCGAGGGTGGTGGAGGATGGTCGTGAGGGTTGGCCCTGGGGGGGGGTCGTATCGAGGCCCTCTAGAAGGGGGAGGGGGGTCGTAAAATTTTCGAAATTGGTCCAACGTGACGGTTGACCTTGGTCGTCAACATCCGCGCTGCGTTCGAGGAAGTTATCGTAACCCACCCGAAGTGCGCAGTTGATATTCTCTATGATTGCCTGACTGCTGTGGACACGAGAGAGTGCGCAATGCCTGGAAGCTACGTCCACCGCTTGTACTCGCGAAGTATAGATGACGCTTGGGCGCAGCCAGAAAACTGTCGCCACCATCGCAGCGATGTGGACTACCGTGAGGTAGACTTGGGTTAGTAACCACATCAATCGCGGGGCTCGAACGAAACGTTAAAGATCAGCCAACGCGACGTCACCAGCGGCTGTCCTTCGAAAAAAGCACAAGAAACAGCCGAAGATGAGCAATGAGGAAGAAAGGTTCTGCTCTATTGTTGGTGGAATTCTCAAGCAATGCTATATGTATTTCGAACTGCTTCATACCGATCCGATTCACCATGACCATCCATGGCTGCGGTTCTCAACTGCAAAGGTTGAGCGAAGCCATTCGAAGGGAGCACCCAGAACTGGAAAGAGCATGACTTCTTCACGAAGACCAGATCGCATGTTTTCAGAAGCTGTGTCGCCAGAAAGTTCTCAAACTCTGATGGAAGTCGCTACCCTATTCCGCTTACTCGATAGTCCATCCGGCTGTGAAAGTGAGATCTCCAAACTCTTCGATAGCAGTTCTGGGCTTAAAAAATCGCGAATCTGCGGCATCGTTGGGCTTATACTATAGACCGTTATGGTTAACATATACTATATTGAGATTTCACAGAAAAATGAGTCTTTGAATAGGTGATCAGGACTTTTTCCTCAACCTAATACATAACCACAAATGTCGCTCTGATGCCTCAAACCTGAGATATTCTGTTTCCCTAGTTATTCCACTTCTAGTTTCACATGGAATTGAATAAAAATGCGTGCTCCATGAAATTCTCAGTTTTGAAGGTTCGACCTGGACTCCTTGCCGAAGGCACAATGGATCAGATCAGGTTGGAGATGCAGAAGCTGTTTATAGAAAATGGTCTCAACAGTGAACGCGTGAGTGTCCCAGTTACAACTGTACATAACAACCACACATCAAGAAATTAATTTTTTATTATTTCTTTATTATTTTTATGAAGGAAATAGTTGTCGGGCGGCGACACGAAAGTAATGTGCAAATTCATAAGCCGTCAGTGAGTCCGCATAAAGAATATTTTAATCCCAGTTCCACTGTCTCCTATTGATTCACCTAATGTTATTTCATTAGTCCATGATATACATCAGAGGACGCGAATGTCGTGTGTAGGGCAGTAGACGTTTACCAGCCGGATCAAGGACTCAAAGTCCAGGGCTGAGTCGCCGGGCCAACCGCTTCCAATCTCGGGTCTGGTCAATTGATGCCATTGTCTTGGTAAAAAACACTGTCTTGTACAATGACGGGCTGGTCACCTACATGTTTGACTAACTTTAATGTATTATTATGAAAGTTCTGAGTCGCTCCAGTGGTACGTCATGACTCGAAGGTGAAGCAGCTTTCAATGCCTCATAGGGGTCCTTACGAGCAATGGTCTTTTCAGGCTTCTCGAAGGGTTGAGGCATGATTCGGGAGGTGTGTGAATGGAACATGAGATTGTTCATTTTCCTTGAACGGCCCTCTGAACTGAAAAGCGGATGACTGACGATCGGGTGGTTCGAGTCCTCGCGGCCAGTGACAATATTTGTATTTGAATGTTGGCGTTTAAATTCTGAAATAGCGTCAACATGAACACTGTGTCATTCTATAAGTAGGACTATCAGCGCGTTGTATCGCACCTCACGCCTGCGCCTCTCATGCAGAAAAAAAAACCGTTATTCTGAGAAGACTGGCATTTCTGGAAAACTCGCTGCCGGTTAGGGGCAGGCGTTGGACGGAGCCAAACTTCTCCCTCAGCGTAAGGGGTCTAGTTTCAACGACGTCCTGAGCTACAAATCGCTTCGCGCTACCACATTGTTACTGCTTTTTAATTGAGCCCCCCCCGATCGGGAGGGGCCCCTCCCAGTCGCTTTGCGGCTGATTTCTGGCCCATATTTCAGAGAAGTACATGGTTGAAGCGTGAAGTAATATTAGCGTATTGTATCCCTTAATATATTCGTTTATAAAAAGGGCTTTAAACAATTAAGTAATCTCCTGGAAGAGCACGCTTCTTTCTTGACACGCAGTCATTTACCTAAATTGTTTTGCTCTCCAAGCTGTGAGCTAGTTAATTAGTTTTGTGCATAACTTGATTACGGTCTCTTGCGTCTAAGTTTATAGTAATCTTTTAGGAGTTGAATATTATTGATGATTGCATCAAAGACAGTCAGTCACGATGTCCATCTACACTTCGGGCCATTCAGGATATGAGATCTTTATTCAGTGCTTTACGTGAGAACGACGTGAAGATTGCCATTTGTACGGCAGACAATAGGTGAGGGTTTGATATTCAGGATTCACAACTTTAAGTCATAAGCGCATAATTAAGGGTAATATTGGGTAAAAAACTTTTGCACGTTGAGCGAGTCTCGTTGAGCTGCTGTAATATGTGGCGCCTGCTGATCCCTTAAAGGCAAAGTTCGGGCTCAGACCCACCTAAGAAGCCCTTACCATGGCTAGAAGTGCTGGGCACGCAAGTGCAAAGGTAGCGCCACCTTTCTACATCGAAACGCGTCACTAGGACCCTAGGCGCCATGGACTTCTAACAGACTCCACCAAACATAACATGGTCCGCCCACCGTTCGATGTCTTGTCTGCGTCGCTGCGTTGATCTGCTATGCTCTCTCTTCTCGGAATTCTCTACCACCCTCTGCTCACATTATCTCTCATCTCCCTGCCTGTCTTTTGAACTTCTCCACAGCATTGGAGCAAAATGCTCGTATTTCCTGTGTATTTCAGGATTTTCTTTCCTTTTTTCCATTGGCGGTCCACCTCTCATCCCTACTTTCACATTTGAGTGGAATCAACCCATCAATGTAATCCTGATTCTTGCCTTTAAGTAATGAATAGTGGTGACAGTGGCAATTGAAATATTTATGAATAAAAATAATAATCAATGTTATTTATGTTGCTAAAGGGGTGGAAAGTGTTCTTGGGAAACAAGAGCCTTATTCGGCAGTATTTGGAGAAGTTTCAAAAAAAAATCCGCGATGTACTTGTCCCATCAGCAGATATTATATATGCTTCAATATATTCGCCGTTCCCCTCCCTGCCGCTTTAAGGATTTTTGGAGAGTTTGCAGGTAGGGTTACCTAGGATGGTACTGACAAACCCATACTGACGGCAGTGAACTGAAGGCGAAGCTTGTTCAATGCAACGGTTGACCTGCCATAGGACTGGCAGAAACAGACTACTGGATCTTTCATTACGCTGTTTAATAGAAACATGATGGACACAAACCTCTCCGTTCTTACGCCCGGTGCACCAACCCAAGGAGTCTGCATCACTCAGAATCTCGATCGTTTCACCTAAAAGGTAAAACAATTAACGTGCTAGCTTTGAAGAGTATCCACAGAAGGCAACAGCAAACGAAAATCGCCACTAAGGAAGAAAGAAATGCAGGAAAAGTTGAGAAGCAAGCCTGATAGAGTACCCTTTTGCAACGGAATCTCATCGTTTTCAAGAGGACTATAATCGTACAGTACGGTGGCCATAGATTTTGTATGAAGTTCTTCGAAGTCGCCGTATTTAGCAGAGTCAGGCGTTGTGGTGGACAGGGGAGGCGAATCTGAATAGTTTTATCATACACTTGAAAACGACTATTACCAACTGGTAATGAACAAAGTAATATGGTAGGTCTTATAGAAGTTCTCCCAGCAGAAGTCAACCATGCGTTAGAGAACACTGGGTGTAAACTTGCTCCATAGACGTCCCTTCCATGAGAGACAGGCCCTTACCTCCAACCAGGGTCGGTCCTATCGTTGGTACTTTTGCAAAATTTTTACGACCCCCCTCCTTCACGACAGATTTCATACGACCCCCTCTTCACAACAACTTTTTCCCTCAAAAAACACCGTCGAGCGGGGGAGGGGTATATAACTACGCGCGCTCACCTCACACATGTAATTTTGTGCAACCGAAACAAGTACGACCCCCCCCCCCC